TTAAGCTGGATTTTTTAGCAGGGTAGTAAAAGAACACTTTTACCAAGAAAATACATAGAGACCAGTGTTGCGTAATTTAAATAACTCTTATTTAAATGCAATGCAATGTAAATATGTAGAGTTCTTAAAAGGGCACATGCATGCTTATTAAATACCTGAAAATAAAATTGGTCTCTTTAAAAATAGACATATATGAATTTGAAATTAAAAAGCAATATATTAATTAATAGAAATGTATAGTGAAAATAGTCTGGATAGGATGACCAGAAATAAATACTTTTTTTTTTTTGGCAGATATTGGCTATATAGAAATTTAGCTGTAAGTATCTTTTTAAACAAAGTTAAGATAGCACAAACATGACGTCCTTCGGGGGAATTCTATCGTTAATGAGTGGGTAACCCCCCCTGTAATTAGCATCATTCCGTTCAGCTGTAGGAGATTCACAATGGCAGGATGGATAGGTGAGGACAGAGCGTAGTATGAGCAGTATTATTGAAGATATTAGTCTAATATTTCATCTAGTTGTCCAAACATGAATGATAACGATGTTGTCAAAATTCTTGCATCGTAATTACTGCTTCAGTTCGACCACAAAAGCTACGAACTTTTATTAATTAAATCGCTTCTGCTTGATTTGCCAGTCTAAAGCAGTCTGGATGTTTTTATTCCAGCCTAACGGATTAGTACACCCAAAACATGACGATATTGATCGTTTTCACCAGCAATAATCAGCAAAATATGCGAGTTTCGTTCTGGACAATGTTTATGTTTTTCTTTCCAAAATGGCCGACCGATGATGCTTCATGAAAACACGCATGCCAGGACTGACAGGTAAGTTATTTTCCGATTTTTGTGGTATTGACAAAGAAAAAGTAACTTTTTTTTTCTCAATGTGTAAGATTATTTTGGATTGATTTTTCTGATTGAAAAGCTGTTAAAATATATACATGATTAAGGTCAATATTGTATATTGTTTGGGTAATCTTCAAAATCCAAACATTTGCTTCTGCATTTAGTTGTTATTACTATAAGTATTATTAGTTTGTTTTATTTCGTTAGGGTTTTCAGTTAAGCCACAATACTCGTCGCCACACCCTTCTTATGTTAGTTGGCTCCAAAACCCCGCCCCCTACTCAATATTCATGTTTAAATTGTAAGTACATTAACATACTACAATAAAAGTCTCATTTTCTTATACAGCTATTAATATTACTCGGAAAATACCATACCCATGTCAAGAAATGGGCCAAAGCGAAGACAAATTGTGAACATTTTGTAAAGGAGTTTAAACAATATTGCTGTGTAGCATTAGAAACAGAAATAAACAAACAAACATATAAAGCATTATGTACATTTAATTTGATTAAATAAATGTTTACTTTATTGATTATTATCTTTCCTATTTATTTGTTTTAGCCCTGGCATCTGTTTGCACTTCAACTGTATAACTAATATAATTTCTCTCATTTTTATTTTGCTTTATTTGTTCATAATTGTTGTGAAATGTATTCTTCTACTAAGTTTGCACATATTTACAATAATAATTAAAATAAGCTACGTTATTTTGTCTTTCTTTTGGATTATTTTAACACCTAATTACATACACTCTCAAACACAGGGTTAAAAACTACCCAAATTGGTTTTTTTTTTAACCCTATTGCAGGGTAAATATGGGACAGAACACATGAGGGGTTAAATTAACCCAAGTAATTGGGTTATTATTTTTAACCCCGTAAACGAGTTGTTTTTTTCTGTCCAATAAATGGTATTTTTACTTAAATACTAGGTTAATTAGATCCAAAAATGCCCGCAAAAGATGACCCAGCAACTCGGCGTCACTGAAGTACAGTGGGGATGTGCAGCTTTTATTACAATTACAATCTTAATTTAATGCAAAGGAATCTGCGTTTATGTTACACTATTTTCGTTGCATTTAAACTAATTGGTATATATGTGGTATCATTCAGCCCCTGCTGTGAGTTGATTTGACCCAAAGAGCTTGGTTGAAACTACCCAAGACTCTGAAAATAACCCCCAAATGCCTCAACCCAAGATTTGGGCAGAAAAGATAACCCCATGTTTTTTAGAGTAAAATAAACAATATATTTTAATTCATAGCAGGTGTTTTTGCGTTATGAGGCAATAAGTACTCGCAATTAATTTAGTTGTAATTGGGATCTTGGTCTGTTTGAAATCAAAATACAAAATACATTGTTCACGCATTATTATTATTATTAATATTATTATTATTCTTTAGCCAAACAATTCATCTTTTTAAGCTCTCAGTATTTCCTATATAATTTTTTATTTCTACTGGAGAGTGTTTTATTTTGGCTGTATAAAAAAAAAAGCTGCTAAATATGTTTAAGGTCAATACTTTAGGCTATATTATAAGTTGTTTGGGTAATCTTCAAAATCGAAACATTTGCTTCTGCATTTAGTTGTTATTACTCATAGTATTATTAGATTGTTTTATTTCATTAGGGTTTTCAGTAGTTAAGCCACAATACTTGTAGCCACGCCCATCTTCTGTTAGTTGGCTTCAAAACCCCGCCCCCTACTCAATATTCATGTTTCAATTGTAAGTACATTAACATACTACAATAAAAGTCTCAGCAGCTTTCGGTTCACACAGACTATTAAAACCCAGATTATTTTCATTCTATTGAAATTGTGCACAACATAATATCAACAACATAATAATGAACAAATAGAGAAAATCAAAATACTCTTGAAAATATTGACAGTTTATAGATGTTTACAGTCTGTACGATGGGTTGCTGTACACTCAAGGCTATCGACAATAAAAACATTTATACTCCATTATACAATATTTACAGTTGTTTTTTTTCCCCAAAAGTCTGCCGTCGGTTTTCTCCTATCAGACACAAAGCTTCATCTGATGATCAACAAACACCAACGGCGTCTGATAAAACATATACAGTAGAGCATCTGCAGACATACACTGACATCCAGCACTATATGAACATTATCTACACGATCACTGTACAGTAGAATATACTGTATAATACAAATCGTCATAGTTTATAGGTGAATGAGGCTTTTAATACTAAACACTCAAGTATGACAGTGCAAATTAAAACCGTAGGATTAATGCCCAAATAGATTGAATTATTCAAAAAAAATTAATTAATAACTATTTTATACTTTTTCTTGTTGTTCAGTACAAATATCTAAACTTGCTAAAATTAAGATCTATTTATTTTACAACATAAAAGTTTGGAGATTGAAAAAAAAACTATTATTATTTATTATTAATATATTTTAACTTTTTTTGGTCCAAAATTAAGCAATTAAGTCTTAGTTTTTATTGTATTTCAATAAACAAAATATGAAAAATAACTTAAATCACTGCTGCTCGTGCAAAAATATCTCAATTCAAGAATATTTAGATATTTGTTCTGTTTACAGATGAATGAGGCTAAATAAAAACTAAACACTGAAGTATAACAGTGGAAATTAAATAAAATAATAAGATTAAAGTCCAATTAAATGAGATTAAATACCCTTTTCTGATTGTTCAGTACAAAATCCTAACGTGCTAGAATTAAACTGCATGTATATTAAATGCGAGATTACAAAATAAAAGTTTGGAGATTGGAGTAACTTTGAATTATATTTTATTTTTACATGTCTAAGTCCAAAGATTAATCAAGTAATCCTTCATTTTGATTTTACTTTTAAATAAAATGAATGGAAAATATTTTAAATTACTGCTGCTCATGCAAAAAACCTTGATTTAGGAATGTTTAGATATTTGTTTAAAATTATTATTATTATCATCATCATTTAATATTATTATTATTATATTTGAACTTTTTTTAGTCCAAAGATTAAGCAATTAAGCTTTACTTTGATTTACTGTTTAATTTGAAAAATATTTGTACTGTCTATTGATGAATGAGGCTAAATTAATACTAAACACTCAAGTATAACAGTGGAAATTAAATCAAAATTTAGATTAAAGTCCACTTAAATTAGATTATTCAGAAGAATTTAAATGATTTTTGACTCCATACTTATTCTGGTTGTTCAGTACAATTATCCAAATGTGCTAACATGTAAAATATTATTATTATTATTATTTTTAAATAAGTAAAATTACAAAAGTTTGGAGATTGGAGTAACTTTGAATTATTAACATATTCTTTCATGTCTTAGTCCAAAGATTAAGCTGTTAAGTCTTAACTTTGATCTATTTTTTTAATAAGAAATGAAAAATGTCATAAATTACTATCACATGCAAAAATATCTTGATTTAGGAATATTTATTAATTTGTACTGTCTATAGACGAATGAGGCTAAATTAATACTGAACACTGAAGTATAACAGAGGAAATTAAATCATAACTTAGATTAAAGCCCAATTAAATTAGATTATTCAGAAGAATTTTATGAATTCTTTATTTTTTTTTATTAAGATATATTTATATGTATGTATATTTAGATGTAAAATTACAAAAAACTAACTCTGAATTATTGATATATTTTTACATGTCTTAGTCGAAATATTAAGCAATTAGGTCTTAGTTTTAAGTTATTTTTTAATTAAAAGAAGATATAAAAATATGTTAAATCACTGCCGCTCATGCAAAAATATCTCGATTTAAAGTCCAATTAAATGAGATTATTCAGAAGAATTATTATTTTTGACTCAATACTTTTTCCTGTTGTTTAGTGCAAATATCCAAACGTGCTAAAATTAAGATCTATTTATTTTAGTAAATAAAAGTTTGGAGTAACTTTGAATTATTAATCTATTTTCATGTCTTAATCCAAATATTAAGTCTTAGTTTTTATTTTAATTTTTTTAGTAAAAGAATATATGAAAATTACCTTCAATCACTGCTGCTCATGCCAAATTATCTTGATTTAAGAGTGTTTAGATATTTGTACTGTCTACAGATGAATGAGGATAAATTAATACTAAACACTGAAGTGTAACAGTGGAACTTAAATCAAAAATTTAAGATTAAAGCCCAAATAAATTATTCAGAAGATGCAAGAATTTAAATAATTTTCCCAATCAGATCAATACGTATTCTGGCTATCCAGTAAAAATATCCAAACTTGTTCAAATCAAATCTCTTAAAATTGTATATTTAGATTATTGTACTTAAAAGTTAAAATACAAATTTAAATTAAGTTTATGCAATTGTTTTTTTTTTATATAAAAGTGTAAATGTGTGTATTAAACTAAATAATTGCATAAATCATATTTAATTAAAATATATATTCTTTCTTGGCCGAAAGACTAAGCAATAAAGTCTGTTTTATTTTATTTAAAATGTTAATAAATATGCAAATATTTATTACAATAAATATTTGTATAAATTACATAACTTGTTTTTTAAATATATTTTTCTTAGCCCAAAGATTAAGCAATAACCTCCTTTAGTTTTATTAAATGTTTCATTAAACAATAAGTAATACCTTAAATCACATTGCTTCTCATGCAAATATATGTTGATTTAAGAACATTTAGATATTTCTACTGGAAAACAAGACAAAAATATTGTGCATCAGTCATTTGCTATCACTTTTTGTTTGTTTAAAATCAGTATTTCTGAGCTGATCTGTAATTGCAGGCTTTTAATCCAGAAACTCCTCCGACCTGCTTGTGCTCCTGCATTAAAAATCTGCATTGTGTGAATGAATGTATTTCCCTCTCTAAAATCAATACACGGACAAACCTGAAAATGACAAACCCCAAACATTAAGATATCCACTAAAGTACAGTAAATGATTGAATCAAGGTGTGTTATTGCTGATGATGTGGGAGCAGGAGTGTGTAATCAGTCGATGTACTGCGACAGCCAGCGGAAACCTTCACCGTAACCCTGCTTCTTCAAGACGCTGCACATGAACACCTCCAGCGGCCGGACGTTCAGCTCCTTCAGAGAAACACTGCCCTGAAAACAGGGACATAAGAAAGATTACTCTATATAGTGTCACACTATGGTGTGCATTAGTATTTAGTATTGCATATTTCCAAACAGATCCATGAGCGCGTGATGAGAAATAGGAGTTGATTAGGTTTTTTTTTTTTTAATTATAAAAAGTCTATATTAAAGAAAAACTTTTCTGTTCATAAATGTAAGTATAAAAGTAATAAAATATATATTTTAATGTTGCTTCCACATTCCCTCCAATATGTTAGCGGTCTATGAGTTTCTAGTATTCATTCATCCATTAAACTATGTTAACACACATAGAATAAAGGCTATTGCTTTTGTAGTCCTTTATTTCGGACACCGTGAGAATCAGCTTCCATAGCTTCTCCCCTGTGGTGCACGACAACCCTGAAAATACTGTGCGGCTGCCACAAGGGGGCGTATTCGACAGTCGTGTCCAAATGTTGTGTGCAGTGGAAAGGCGGCTTTAACTAGTGTAATTAGGCAAGTCATTGTATAATAGTGGCTTGTTCTGTAGACAATTGTGGCTAATAATATTGACCACAGCTGTTTTTTTTTTTTCATAAATATAATTTTAGTATAAACTTGTCAATCTGATGAGAATAAATGCTAAATAACTGTAATAACGCTAAACAGTAAACAGTAAACAGTGAGTGAAGTCTGTGCATATGCTTCATCAGTCTGTGTGCTGTGATGTAGTTTTTGACAGATGCTGATCAGATTTATTAAGTGATGCACAAACTGTAATATCACATTAAACATCAATCTAATTCACATATTTGCATGGAAACACAGCTAATGTTTGTTAATGTGTGTTTCTCTGACCTTCCCGGTGGTCTGTCCGTCCAGAGCGAACACTTCTCTGAGTCTACTTTCACTCACAGCCTCCGGCCGGTCGATCTTATTTCCCAGCACCAGCAGTGGCACACTGGAGATGGTCTCATCTGACAGCAGAGCCTGACGAAAGCATAGTCAGTATATATGGGTGTATATATATATACACTTTGTGTGTGTGTGTGTGTATATATGTACACACATATACACACACACATACATACATATATATATATATATATATATATATATATATATATATATATATATATATATATATATATATATATATATATATATATATATATATATATATATATATATATATATATATATATATATATATATATATATATATATATATATATATATATATATATATGCATATGCATACATACATACATACATATGCATACACACAGGGCTTAACATTAACTTTTTTGACCACCAGCCACTGTGGCTAGTACTTTTCCAACATCTCGCCATTTTCACTAGCCACAATTTTATTGTTGGGAAAATATATTTTATACACATAAATATGACTTTGACATGCTAAAATTACTTGATTTAGAGTTTGTGTTATCTCTACATGCCTCCTCATTCATTTCACTTTTTGTGTGTCGTGTATGAGCTTGCTCAATAATCATGAGCAGATGGGTCAGGCTTTCATATATTACAATTAGTTTTCATAATTTTCAGAGCCCAAATTGAAGGATTTACCCAATTTATCTCTGACCACACCATAAATTTCTTAGCCACAATTTTAAATGTGTGAAAACATGCAAAATATAGCTGAATACTAAACTTTTTATTTAACAAAACATATGCACAGTCATGTGTCCTGGCTAAAGGTCCCAGATCACTAGTTAACTACACATAAATGGGAAGTTATTCTCCCATTAAAGCAATGTTATTGTAAAAAAAAAAAAAGATAATTAAACCATATTAATGCAAAAGAAAGCAGGTAAAAACATATTGTGTGATGATGAAAGGATGATCACACACGCATGGTTAATGATAGACCTATAAATGATCTTTTCAAAGAATGGTTAAACCAAAAGCAACTGGCGCTGCTTGCAATAAGTCAACTCTGGAACTCTTGAAAGCAGCAAGACTGTAACCTGTGGGTGCATGTTCCTCCCTTTTTGTTCAGTCTGAAAGAGAACCGATCGCATCAGTTGTGTTTCTAAACACAGTTGCTTCACAAAAGGAAACGGGAGCGTGCACGCGTTATAAACAGTAGCGCGTATCATCTCAGCTGTTAGCACAAGGGATTATCCTCTCATTCGGTATTCACCTGCTTTGCTCGCGCGAAGTTGCAAACGCAATTATTTTAGTCAATTGTGTTGCTTCTCGATCGCCTGTGCATGCATATTGGACCATCCTTATTGTCGAACCCTGCTTTTATTATCTGGGAAAATTATTTCCACCAGCCAAAGTGGCCAATGGGATGTCTGCTTTACTTTTTATAAAAGCCCGGAAGGAAGAAGGGGG